CAGGTTTTCTTCAGGAGACCTAACATCAGATACACAGAACCAATATCTGGGGACTTGGCACTTCTACAGACTTTCCTTTTCCTTAACTAGCTCCAGAGAAATGAGTCCAAAAATGACGCTTAACTACTAATGAGTGACGGCAGCCAAGTCCCCAAGCTTGTGGCTGATTTCTGACTGCCCTTTTGGAGTTGTGTGTCCAAAAGCCAGAGGGACTGGAGTCCTAAGGGACACTGTCTCTGATTCCAGTCATGCCCTACTGCTTTGCTCTTGGGCATTGCTCCAGCTGGGATAAAAAATTGTTCAACTTTCTATTTTGATATGATTTTAAATATATAGAAAAGTTGTAATAATGATATTAAGAATTCCTGGTCAATCTTCAGCCAATTCCCCAATGGTTAACATTCTACTATGTTTACCTTCTCTGTGTCTATATGTATATATGTTTATATGTCTATTTAAGGCTTAGATTTATAGCTGATATACCACAGTGCATATTGTCAGAAGGCATATGATAATGTTTCCAATATCTAGTGTTTTTATTCTTTTTTAACAAATTTTCAAAAATTTTATTGTTGGAAGTATTACATATGTCCCTTTCCCCCCCCCATTAACCCTTCTAGCCGGCCCCCAACTCCCTACCCCAGATCTTCACCATACTATTTTCTGGATCCATTGATAATGCATACATGAATACAAATTGTTTGGTCGATCTCTTCCCACCCACTCACCCATGCCTGTCTTCCCTCTGAGATTGGACAGTATGTTCCATGCTTCTGTGTCACTAGATCTATTTTGTTCATCAGTTTATTTTGTTCATTAGATTCCACATTTAATTGAGATCATGTGCTATATGCCTTTCTCTGGCTGGCTTTTTGTTTGGTATAATACTCTGCAGGTCCCTTCATGCTGTCTCAAAGGGTAAAAGATCCTTCTTTTTCACAGCTGCATAGTATTCCATGGTGTAAATGTATCACAGCTTTTTTATCCACTCATCTACAGGTGGGATGTTTCTAGATCTTAGTTATTGTGAATTGCACTGCTATGAACATAGGGGTGCATATATTCTTTCTTATTGGTGTTTTGGGTTTCTTAGGATATATTCCTAGAAGTGGAATTGTGGTGTCAAATGGCAGCTCCATATTTAATTTTTAAGGAAACTCCATACTGTTTTCAGTCACAGCTGCACCAATCTGCATTCCCACCAGCAGTGTATTAGGGTTTCCTATACTGCACATCCTCACCAGCACTTGTCATTTGTTGATATGTTGATGGTAGCCATTCTGATAGGTATAAGGTGATACCTCATTGTAGTTTGAATTTGAATCTCAGCTCTCTGATGATCAGTGACTTTGAGCATTTTTCCATATGTCTCTTGGCTATCTGTGTGTCTTCTTGGAAAAGTGTCTATTTAGGTCCTTTGCCCATTTTTAATTGGATTGTGTGTCTTCCTATTGTTTAATTGTATGAGTTCCTTATATTTTTTTGGATATTAATCCTTTATTGTATGTATCATTCACAAATTGATCTCCCATACATTAGGCTCCCCTTTCGTTATGTTTATGGTTTGTTTTGCTGTTTAGAAGCTTTTCATTTTGATGTAGTCCAACTTGTTTATTTTCTCTTTTGTTTCTATTGCCCTAGGAGATATCTCTACAAACATAATGCAACAACAAATATCTGAGATTTTGCTGCCTTTGGTTTCTTCTAGGATTTTATGGTTTCACGACTTATATTTAAGTATTCAATCCATTTTGAGTTTACTCTTGTGTGTGGTATAAGTAAGTGGTTCTTTCTTTTATATTTTTTATTTTGCATGTATCTATGCAATTTTCCCAGCACAATTTATGGAATAGACTGTCTTTATTCCATTTATTAGACTGTCTGGCTTCCTTTTATTACTTCCTTCTTTCCAAGTTGGATGACTTTTATTTTTCCTTCTTGTCTAATTGCTGTGGCTATTAAAACTCCAGTACTATGTTAAATAAGAGTGGTGAAAGCAGACATCCCTGACTTGTTCCTGTCCTTAGGGGAAATGGTTTTAGTTTTTGCCCATGGAGTATAATTTTGGCTATAAGTTGGTGATATGTGCCCTTTATTATGTTGAGGTATGATCCCTCTATTCCCACTATGCTGAGATTTTTATTTTAATCTTTATTGTTTAAAATGTTACATATATTCCCCTTTCCCCTAAGGACCCTTTCTAGCCTCCCCTCCACCCCCCGTGCCTCGCCCAGACCTTCACCATGCTGAGTTTTTATTAAAAATCAGTATTGGATTTTGTCAAATGCTTTTTCTGCATTTATTGATATGATCATGTGATTTTTGTCTTTCAGTTTGCTTATGTGCTGACATTTACTGATTTGCAAATATTTTACCAGCCTTGCATCCCTGGAATAAATCCCACTAGGTCATGGTGTATGATCCTTTTAATATGTTGCTGGATCCAATTTGCTAGTGTTTTTTTGAGGATTTCAGCATCTATGTTCACCAGGGATAGTGGCCTGTAATTTTCTTTTTTTGCTGTGTCTTTATCTGGTTTTGAAATGAGGGGAATGCTGGCCTCATAAAAAGTTTTCCTTGATCAGTTAGCTAAGGTAGTGTGTACAAGGTTCTCTACTGTAAAGTTGCTATTTTTTTGGTTATTATTTTAACCTTATACTTAATAGGTATCATTTAGGTACATATTTTGATACTATGTAACCATGAAATTTTTGCTTATTAAAATTTCACCTACTATACTTAATATTCATTGTTTGATTTTCATATGAGAAAATTATTACAAAAGTGGTGGCCAAATAGTGATTGTTCCAATTGTATCATTTCTTATATATTTATTAGTTGTATTCTCCTATAAGAAGGAACTTGCCCATATTCCACCTCATTTATTTCTATTTATTTATTTGTTTGTTTGTTTGTTTATTTCATTATGGACTTGTGTATTCTTATTCTCTAAGTTATAATCCATTACTGTAGTTATTCATTTTGAAGCGTTAGGTGTGTTTATTGCCTGCAAGGATTCTAAATGATCTCAGAGAAGCCAACTGGAAATATATATATAAGAAACACCAGGAATAGAAACTAGAAACTAAGAAAATGAAAGAAAGTTTACCCATAGGACGTGGGTCTGGAGTGGGACAGAAAGAATAGGGAATGGGAACAGTGTGGATGTTGACATATAGGCTATAAGTTGCAATCTGTTTATACATTTTAAAACCCATGACTTCTGATTGATATCTCCAATTCTGGTTTGACACCATGGAGTCCTTCCCAGCCTCTCTTTTTCCATGTACAGAGCTCCTTTTCCCAAGAGTGAGTGTGAAACCCTTTTCCTCCGTGTTTATTAAGTTGCTGAGTCTTTGGATATATGGTGACTTGTTTCAGAATCTTGAACTCACACCACTGTTAATGAAACTCAACAGCTTATAACATTGTTTAGACTATTTTTAATTGTGGGAATATACAGACAAAATTTGGGATTTAAGAATTGCTTAGGTTATTTATTTTATTTTCACCTTTAATCTAATTTTGGAGTTAATTTCAAATATAATTTCCGTTCATTTGTATTGTTTTAATCTATTTTGCTTTATTCACCACCTCTCCTATTTATTTTTTAGTGGCAAAATACAGCATAGTCAAAACTACATAAAAAAATCCAACTCATCTTGCCATCCCTTCTGCCCACCTCCTGTGGGTAAACAATCTCAGTTTCTGATTTATTCTTCCTGTGCTTCTTTCTGCTCAAATGGGCAGACACATGTGTACTTTATTCCCCTTCGTCGTTACATAAAGAGGAACGTGCTATCGTGCTCTTTCACACATGGCTGTTTTTCATTCAGCAATATATCTGCATATTTCTCCACATTGCTTCATAGATACCTTTGCTTTTATTTGATTCACAGTTGCAATTAGAGGTCATAAAATGAGATATTGGTGATGAGTGCCCTAAATGCCACTGAATTGTATACCTCAAATGGCTAAAAAGAAAGTAGGAAGTGATATCTGCATATATCACAGAAAGTAATTATAAAACTATAAAAATAATTATGTATGATTAATAAGTTAATTGAAGGAAAATTGAATTTTAAAGTATGTATTTAATTAAAATGGAGGAATATGAGAGAGGATATCGGTGAAACAGATACATCAAATAAAAAACAGAGTGGTATAGAAAATATAAATGCAAATATATTATGATTAGATGTTTATAGACAATATTCTCCAAAAATATAATTGTTGCCTTATATAAAATGAATAAAAACCACCATTACATTTTTAACCATGCACACCTGAGAGACATAAGGACAAAGAAAAGTTTAAAGTGATGAAAAAGAAATACCATTTAAACACTAACCATGAGAAAGCTGAATCTTGACCAGCTACACTATACTGGTATCTATATCTCTATCTGTATCTATATATCTGCATCTATATTTAATATTAAGGTAGCACCCACTACTAGAAACTTTTCATAATAATAAACAAAGTGGCTTGATCTTAAATACATTATTAAAAGTCCATTCCTCTCTTTTTCTAACAACTAGGCTTTGTAGCACATAATTTTCATAGTGTAATTATTCTCACCATGGCTCATTGCAGTCAGACAACATGATGTCATTGATTGTGAATTAGGAAGAGATGTGCACAATCAGCATTAAACCAGCATAAAGAAAAACAGTTCAAAAAAAAGAAAGATCACCAGGAGCAGATCATGAGGTTAAATAAGTGAGTCTTCTAGAGCATAAAATTTTAAAACTGAATAAACAAAAACTCAGATATCTCAAAACAGAATGAGAAAAACCACAATTATGATTGTGTAATGGGTTTGCATGGGATTTTGCAAAAAATTATAAGAGATAATGGACAACCAAAAACTATCAATTATGAATAAAAAATTATTAACAATCCTACAAGCAAATCTGACCATATAAACAACACATATACAGGACAAGATGATGTATATACTATGAACGAAATATAGAGGTGTCAACGATACAATAATTTTAGGAGATATATCTCACTGTGTTTCTGACTGGAACAAGAGGATTTAGTGATTGCATCTTAAAGAACTTAACCCAGTTGACACACATCTCTAAGGCCTGTTTTATATCTCTGTTCCTCAGGCTGTAGATGAAGGGGTTCAGCATGGGGGTAACTATTGTATACATGACCGAAGCAATTATGTCTTTGAAACCCCAGGATGAGGAGAAAAAGTAAACACCTGTACCTGTCCCGTAGTATAAAGACACCACAGAGAGATGGGAGCCACAGGAAGAAAAGGCTTTAAGGATTCTCTTATTGGAGGGCACGCTCAGGATGATGGTCCCTATAAAGATATAGGAGCCCAAAATAACACCAAAACACAAAAAGAAAATCATTCCTCCCTCAGTGTATATGACCAGCTCATTGAGGAAGGTTTCTGAGCAGCTCAGCTTCAGGAGTGCAGCGAGGTCACAGAAGTAGTGGATGATGGTATTATCAGCACAAAAAGACAGTCGGACCAAGAGGAGGGTGTGCAAAAGAGCAATGACACAAGAGAGAATCCAAGAGGCAGCCACCAGCAGCACACACAACCCATCCCTCATTATGGTGGTGTAGTGCAGAGGGTGACAGATGGCTACATACCTGTCATATGCCATCACAGCCAGAAGAAAATTGTCAAGACAGGCAAAAAGTATGAAAAAATACAACTGAGAAATGAATCCCACAGAGAAAATGGATTG